TCCCCAAGGTCTTTCTACTAGGTCTAGCAGGCCTAAGGACTCACAGAGACTGACTCAACGAGAATTCTCAAAAATGAAACTGGTAACCAGGAAAGGTTCTATAGAATGAAGCCGAAGAAAAATTATAAGCCAAGAATACATGAACTACGACTAACTCAAACCAACAGTGGCAGTCTTGCCAGCAATCTCCAGGCTCAGCTACACCTGGGAAGGGATTGTTCAGGCCACAGCCTCTGCAGGGGTGTCTTCCCAATGCTTCTCTTCCAAGAGACGGTCTTAAAGCTCACCAGACAAGGGCAATCCACCCAGAGGATTGCATCTGGGGTAGTCGGATAGGATGGCCAAGGAACATGTTCCACGACTAAAGAAATGAGTGAAACTGATAGAATGAGATTCACTAACCCTATACTTCCATTTACAATCCCCTTCCAATAGGGTATGGTCTATGTTCTGGACTGGCAACCAATTATGGTGCTGGCTTGGAAATTCCTTCCTCTTTTCTCCTTTGATCAATAGTTTTCATTGCAGTTTACTATTTTAGTCCTGCCACTGTATATCAGATGTGTAGACATTATTACTGAGTCCAGTGACTGCATACCTGAACTGACCAAAACAGAAGGGGAGTAGATATTACCTAGAGGCTTGGTAATGGACTTGGAAAATGAATGGCTTTATCACATTGTCTCTGGATGGTGTGACTGGACATAACTTTCGGAGAAGTTTGGCAGGATGTGTATTTGGGATAGCCAGAAGGCATTACTGGGGACAGCTTCAGAATGTGAAAAGAGGAATAAGGATGTCTGTGTTGTAAGGGAGGGGTGGCAGGCAGCCAGGGAATAGGATGTTCAGTGGACTTCCTTACGGTATCCATTTGACTCACAATCATACACAGGGATAAGCCCCAGCAGGTATGTTTATACTATGTGACTCTCTTTCCCTAGGCACAGCTGACAGTCCCAGAGGACCAACCTGCCCATCTCCCACATATACAGAATTCAGAATAGAAGATTTTAGTTCAGATTGGGCTGGTTTCTTGAAGATATAAAAACTGAGAAGCTGTGAGGGTAGCCATCTTCTATCCCATTATCAGGAAAACTGGACCAAAGAAAGAGAACAAAGCAGATATTCTGAGTGCTGTCAAAGTTTATGACGGCTTCTCAGGCCCTATTTCCTGGCTCTTTCTGATAAATGCTATAGCATCCATGTCCCTGGGGTCTGTGAGTGTGGTCTCCCTCCCTTCCAGTAACAAACATCCCTTTTGCTTAAATGACATCAAGTTGATTTTGTACTATTTGTAGCCAACAAGTCCTAATTAACACTGGAAGTACCATGACCTGATCTGTGTGTAGGCACGTGTGTACGTATGTGCGTGCGCACATGTGCACTTGAGAGTGAGTTTTGGCAGCAGCGTGGACAGTGGACTGCCCTGCCTTCACTGTCTTCTACCTGGTTCATTCTGATAATCTCATTTCCCTCCTTCTGCTTTCCCTGTCATGACACCACTTCATTCTTCACGTTGCTGCCAGAGTGATCTATCTAAAATGTACATTTGCCCATGTTTTCTCTCCTGCTAAAAACCCTTCTCTATCACCTAAAGATCAGAAGCCAAGCTCTTTAGTGCTACATACAACCCCATTCATTACTTCAACATATACTTAATGAGAACATATACTTAATGTAGAGTTTTAGGCACTAGAAATAAAGCAGGGAATAAGATGTGAATTTCAACTCTCATGGAACTTACATTTTAGTAGTACAGAGACATCAAACAAGTATTATTTCAGGATGTGGTAAGTGCTATGAAGAAAAACAGAGCAGGGGAAGGAGGAAGAGATTAATGAGGGTGGGGGAGGGCTCTTCTAAACAGGATGGGCAGGCAAGGCTGTGGAGGGTACATTTGAGCAGATATTTGAATATGGTGGGGGCTTAGAGGACTCACAGTGCAGTGAGGGGTAGCAGTCATCAAGATGGGTAGGGGCTGGATCAGATCAGGACATGGGGTACACTGTAGCCACAGTAAGATTATTCTGAAAGTAATGAGAGACTATTGGAGGGCTTTGAGTAGGAGAATCACACTTACTTTTTGTTTTTTAAAGATCATTTTGGCTACTGTGCAGGCTTGTCTGTATGAGAGGCTAGAGTGGAAGCCAGGGGACCAATAGTCCAGGCCTGAGATGATGGTGGCTTGGATGGCAGTGATGGAAGCGGTGAGAAGAGGCCAGGCTTGAGATATATTCTGAAGAGAGAACTGACTGGTCTGACTAATGCATTAGTTGGGAGGTAAGGAGGAAAGAGAGGCACCAAGAGTGGCACTGGGGTTTTGGTCTGAGCAACCAGGTGAATGGAATGGGGAAGGCTGGTAGTGGCTGAGCAGGTTTGGAGTGTGTGGGTGTGTGCAGGCAAACAGGAGTCTTCTTTGGGACATATTCAGTTTGAGATCGTTCCTGGCATTAATGAAGTTGGTTATACAAGTCTGGAGTTTGGGGAAAAGGTCAGGATGTAACCTCACCTCCAGTAACTCCTCATCTTGCATTCTGTATACACACTAGCTAAATGAAATAGTCAACTGCTTGGCTTGTGGTTGCCACATCTGATGTTTTATGGCTGGTGCCTTTTTTTGAGTCTTCACCTCTTTCTGGACCACCTTTTCAAGCTTTGTATCTCTGGGTGACTCTCTTTAAAACTAAGATAGGATGTTCCTTGAACACCAGGCTGAGTTGCAGGAGCCCCTCATTTGTGACTCTGTGGTTCTTAGCAGGTCACACAGGAGGTGCCTATTAGACTCTCTAGGGCAGGGCCTGCCTAACTCGTCTCTGCATCCCCGGCACCTGGTGCTGAGCCTGCACAGGGTAAGCGCTCTACATCTGTTGAAACGCAGGGAAGGAGCCCAGCCAGAAGGCTGTTGCCTCACTTAAAGGGGAGGGCCACAGACTTGAACTACTCATGGAAAGGAGGGGATGGTTCCAAAACGTTACATTCTCTGTGGAAACTTCTCAAACTGCTTCCTGAGACCTAGCTGACCACTTCTCTTCAAGAGGGGTCCCCCTCCAGCCTTCCTCCCCAGAGCACTTCTCCGACTGCATTGTTTTAGGGGCGGGTGAAACCGCGCTGGGAGAGTAAACTCCCAGGCATTTCCTTCGGTTTTCCTTGCTGGCAGCATTCCTAGCGTTGTAGGACTGTAGCAATGGGCTGTCCCATTAGCAGTGTGAGGTAAACGGTAAACGGTAAACGGTAAACGGAAGGCAAACCCTCTCCTTACGAGAGGCCCTGGGGAGCGGTCTGGGCGCAGGGCCGCCGGTGGTGGACGCCCAGAGGCCGAGGGGCTGCTGAGCCAAGACCTCAGCGCTGTCTCGGGAGGCGGGTTCGCGGGCCCCAAGGCGGCGGCGGCCGAGGGGCTGCTGAGCCAAGACCTCAGCGCTGTCTCGGGAGGCGGGTTCGCGTGCCCTCAGGCGGCGGCGACCAGGGAGCTGCCCTGGGCCCCGACTGCCCCTGCCGCCCCCCGCCCCCCGAGCAGTACTCACCGGTTGGGTGGGGGACCTCGTCCCGCCCAGCCCGGGCCTCGGACCAGCTGGCGCCGCAGCTCGACTCGGGCTCGGGAGGTCCCGCCGGCTCCATGTCTGCGCACTGCGCCCGCGCAGCCGGAAGTCCGTTTTGGCGAAATCATGATGATTGATCTCCCCTACCCGGGGGAAAAGTCCCGAGCAGGAAGAGACCCGTCCGCTTTGCAGATGCAGTTCTCAAACAGAAACTCGCAACTTCTCCAGATCTGAGTCTGAATTTGAATTGCTTTTTTAAAAAAAAAAATCATGCCAGGAGCTCCCCACCCTGCGCCCACTTAAGCGATAGTCGGAGTAAAGGTGGCCGAAGCCCCTGGACTCAGCTGGAGAAATGATTGTTCTTCTGAGGATTTATCCATTATTTTCTAAAAACTGTATCACACCAAGTCTGGCCTAAACAGGTCTATCATAAACGGACGCAGAATTAACTGACAGTAATTCCAGTTGCAGTCGCAAGCCTTTATTTAGCACCCATTGGGTACACAGCACCATACAAGACAAGGTTTTTGGTGCATGGAATACACATGTAGAGAACACAAACGCATATAATTACAGTTAAAAAATAAGTTGCTCTGTAAAAGAAGCATGTAATAGCTGGTGGTTTGCTGAGGAACTAATCAAAGGAAAACTCCTGGAGGTCTTGTTTTTTGAGCAGATTTTAAAGAGAGGAAAGGAGGCAAACTGGGGACAGAAAAGAGAACAATATTAAAAAGGATAACTTGGATAGTCTTGACAAACAAATGGATTACAGAAGCAAGAGTGTGGAGATGCAAAACGGGAGAAAAGAGCATGCTCTGGCAGCAAAGTTTTTTTTCTTTCAAGCAGTAAGATGGAAGAGTACTCCTTGCCAGGCCAGAAAGAAAGTCCTAAAGAGACTGGATAAGAAACTGAAGAGCTCAGCTAGGTCAGGTGAAGCAGTTGAAGAGCTCCTTACCCCGCTCTCAGTTTATAATCTCAGCTTTTCAGTGTTCCACTCTTAAGAATGAGCAGACTTAACACACATATATGGAATCTAAAAAAAAAAAGATTCTGAAGAACCTAGGGGCAGGACAGGAATAAAGATGCTGTCCTCTATGCAGACATAGAGAATGGACTTGAGGACACAGGGAGGGGAAGGGTAAGCTGGGACGAAGTGAGAGTAGCATGAACATACATACACTACCAAATGTAAAACAGATAGCTAGTGGGAAGCAGCCGCATAGCACAGGGAGAGATCAGCTCGGTGCTTTGTGTCCACCTAGAGTGGTGGGATAGGGAGGGTGGGAGGGAGACACAAGAGGAAGGAGATATGGGGATGTATGTATATGTATAGCTGATTCACTTTGTTATACAGCAGAAATTAACACACCATTGTAAAGCAATTATACTCCAATAAAGATGTTTAAAAAAATCCCTTATTTAAAAAAAAAAAAAAAAAAAAAAAGAATAAAAAAAAAACCCATATTAAAAAAAAAAAAAAAAAAAAGAATGAGCAGACTGCCAAGATCTAACTAACTGAGGAAAGCCTAAAACATGAAAGACAAAGACCAAAGGACACATACAGGGAAAACACAGAAACAAACCTTGCAGATCACAGAATATTCAGGAAAAAGAAAATATAGATACGAATGCCTGTATGTATGTTACACTATATAAATAGTATTTTCAAAGAGATAAGATACTGCAACCATGAACCAAAAATAGGATATTGAAGAAAAAAAAAACATTCAGAGAAGAGAGCTCTAGAAATTTAAAATGAGACCAAAAGAAAAAACCTAACCAGAACACAACAAAACCCAATCCCCACCCCGCAAAAACCCCCCAAACGAAAACCCAACACAATAGACAAATTGTAAGATTAAGTTGAGGAAATCTCCCAGAAAGTAGAGCAAGAAGACAAAGCTGGAAATTAAGAGAAAAGATAAGAAAATGAGAGAACCAATCCTGGAGGTCTAATGTCTAGATAAATAGGAAGAGACAACCGATAACAGACAACAGAACTATTTCATTAAAGAAATATAGTTCAAGAAAATTTCTCTGAAGAACAAAGTTTTCAGATTGAAAGATCCCTCCCACCAAGCACCTGGTATGAGGTATGAAAACTAACTCTTACTGGGAACAGAACATTGGGACAAAGAGAATGCTATAAGCTTGAAAAAATTGGCCACGTATACAAAAGATAAAGAACGGCTTTATCTGACTTCCAACAGTCACCCTGAAGGCCAGAGGTGAGAACATTTTCAGACTTCAAAGCAGCAACACTGGAATGTAGCAGATGTGTTCAAAATTGGGTATGGAAGCTACTCACGAACTGAGTACCCATACCCTGCCAAAATAGCAATCAAGTGTAAGGGTAAAATAACATGTTCAAACATACAAGGGCTCAAAATATTCACCTCATTTTTCCCTTTCAAAAGCTACTGGAGGATGTGCTTCACCAATATGTGGGAGTAAATCCAGGAAAGGGGAAATAATGGGATTTAACTGGAAACAGACCTGACATAAGGAAGACAAAGGGAATCTCTAGGACGCTGACGGAAGATGACAGCTGTGAACCAGTACAGAATGAAGCAGATCAAGATGTTGATTTCTGCACAAAAACATTTTCCATACTTACCAAGTGTCTTCACTTCATTTTAGTGCATTGCCTAAAATTCCTGCATCTTTACTGTGAATAAATGGACTTCTCAACTTTCCTCATCTGTCTACAGGCTGTTTGGGTTATAATTTTTTGCTCCCTTTCCTAGCTCTTTGGTTTCCCACTCTCTAAACCAATTTCAAGTTAAATTTTTATTTAGTTCAATATTTTAAAGAAATTAATCGGGTCCAAACTTAGAAGTGATTTTTGTTTAAAAGGTAACAAAACAAAACCCAGAATAAAAATAAAAAAAAAAAAAAAAAAGAAAAAAAACCCCTAAAAAACCAGAACTACTTTTAATTACTCCTTTTTGAGCTAGTATTCCCATCCTGGTTCCTAGTGGGAAGTTCCTGGCAGCCAAATCTATATCTTTGTTATAGATAAAATTAGTTTTAACTCTTGGAGATTCTCATCCTCTTTCCACTAGACAATCATGGTTAGGTAACCTAGAGCAAAGTAACTTTCTCTAGGAAAATAATTTGCACATCATGCCTAGGAGAGTCCAAGGGTCTGTTTCAGACTTTGCAGTTCAGTAGAATTGTTTTGTTAAGTGAAATTCTTGCCCAGCACAATCTCTTCTGGCTTAAATAAGCCATGTCTGACTATTTTCTAAGTTTCCTTTTCATAAGGCTCTATCTAGAACAAAAATATTCTAATTCCTCCAAGTTTCTACTCCCTCCTTTCCTGTCCGTGTTTATGTGGAAGGAGTGAAGAGGATCTGTGGAAAAGAAATTGAATCGCAAAGAGTGTGCCAAAACCTTCCCCACAGGAGAGCTTCTACCCCTTCTCATTCAAACGGACTGATGGGACACTTTCACGGAGCCAGATACAGCTTCTCCAACTAGCACTAAAATACTTGGAAGTAATATGCATGAAGTGAATTTCGACAGATTCTTCAGGCTCTGTTGCCCACCTTATGGTTCACAATGGTAAATTATTTGCCAGGAATTAAACATAAATAAATTTTGTAGGTAAAGATGTGAGCTTTGGCCCTTTGGGGCCATGAAAGTCAAAGATAATTCCAAAAGCAATAAGAAGTGCTGAAATCAATTGTGGCATTTGTCTTTCTTAATATATAATTTACAAATAAGTTACAAATTATATAGCAGTATTTCATATAAAATATACACTTGCATCCTACTCATGTACAGTTGAACAGCAGTAAGAATAAAGAGATACCCTATGCATATGAAAATGTCCTTATTTTGTTCCTAGTGTTTCTAAGTAATGCAAATGGACCCCCCAACAAGGGTAAACTAAGAGGAATTCTCTTGATGGATCATAACCTAAATTAATTCCACTGACCACTGGGGTTTCTTTTGCATGACTCTAATTTCAGCTCGATAAGCTAATTTCATGAACAGGCACTAGCTACAGATTTATAATATTTTTTTCCTACACTTATTAACCCCACATTGGCAGAATATTTCTTTTTCAGGCATAGTCCCAGCTTCATAACCATAATCCCATGTTAGTTCTGTTCTTGCTTTCACATACCTAGAAAGTAGAAATTTTAAAAATAATCATAAATTACCCTGAATAACTACCAAATGAACCAAATTTGATTATATCAATTTTCACATTAACATCATTAACCATCCTCAAAAATATGGTTTTCTCTCTCTCTCCAACAACAGCCAATTAGGAATGCTCTTTTATTAAGAATAAATCATTTAAGTTTTATTTCAAATCTACTAAAATCATAAGTAAGAAGAAACTTGTCAATATCCACAAGGAAGGAAGTGTGTTTTGCAAACAGTGGAACCCAGTAATGTGATGAGGCATGTGGTGTGGTAGTTGGGGGCAGTTTGGACTCAAAGATGTAGCATTCTGCATCATTTATCCTCTGAACTGAACTGGCTGAGGCCTGCCATCCTTAGCCTTTTCAGGCATTAACTCTAAGTGGAAATAAGAATGAAAATTTCAGCTATTTAAAATTTTATTGACCACAAACAGTTTGGGACAACTGAATATTCTAGGGTGCCAGATATGTGGGGCTATAGCATATATCTTCTCTTAATATGTTTCTATTGTTATTTTTAAAGTCACAATTTCAAAATGAAATCATATAAAAAAATTTTCAAACCTGTTGGTGAAGAACGCCACCAATGGAAAATTTCTGTCATGTGTTTCTACAAAAACATTCTGTACCAAAAGATTTGGGCAACAACTATGCTGTTAAAAAAAATAAACACAGAGGTTAGACATAGCATCAAGTTTGATACCTTATTCTTTGCAGCATTAGAATACCATTCTGTTTCCAACACATCTAACTTATTTTTGTTTATATCTTTTTTTCCTGACTAGTATATAGAATATCATAGCTCATTACAATTTTGTTGACGGTAGGAATACATTCAGAAAAGCCCTGTTTTGACACTCTTACATCTTTCCAGTAGAAAGGCAAAATGGTGCAAACCCCTATAGAAGATAATCTGTCAGTATTTATCGTTATTATAGATGCATATCTTTTGATTCAGCAATCCAGTATCTGGAAATGTATCCGACAGATATATCTGCACATGTATCCATTGAACATTGTTTTTAACAGTAGAAGTTTGGAAACAATCCAAATATCTATCTAAAGAGGATTGGTTACATGAACTTTAGGATATCCACACATTGGAATTCTATGCAGCTATTAATATAAACAAAAAGAACGAGGAGCTCTGTGTACTGATTAGAAAGATCTCCAGGGCACGTTGCTAATTAAAAAAAAACAAGGTGTAGGACGGTAAATATAATATGCTATCTTTTATGTAATGGGTAGGAATAAGAACATATATTTATATTTACTTGTATTTGCATAAAGAAACTATAAGAATACACAAAAAAGTAGTAAAAATGATTTTACTATAGAGGGTGGAGTGGGGGCCGGGTGAATGTGGGCACAGTACACTTTTTTTAAACAAAACAAAAAGTTTAATATGAAGAATGTATATGACCTGAGTTTTACAACACAGTCAAACAGACCCGTTGGAAAGGGTACCTGTATACGTAACTGATTTCTCTGCTGAACATGACCTTCTCCTTTCTCCAAGGCTTCTAACATGATGATACTATTTCCTCCTATTACCACCATTCCAATATTGTTCTGTTGCCCACTAGCTGCCACCTCTACACATTCATCTATCACCAGATTCATAAAGGGATCAAATCCCAGCAATTTTCCTCAGACATATTTGCCACCATTAAATTTCAATGATAACTTCCTGTCCACACAGTTTTTTCAATTTGGGCCTGGTAAGCTTTACTCATGGTGCCTACTTGGCAGGGTCAGAGCCACCTTGATACAGGAATTCTGTTTGGCTGTATGTATGTACGTAGGTATTCTCTAAGACTCTTTATTTTATTTAAACTTTGAAACCTCGTGAATGTATTATCTAAGTAGAAAATTAAATTTAAAAAGAAAGAAAAGCCCGTTTTTTTCCTCCTATAAAGAAGGGATGGACCCAGCTGGTGAAACCAACCATATAGTTGTAGTGCAGCCACCATTCAACATAACCTACCAGAAAGGAAGCCACAACAGTCCTTTGCTAGAGATCATTCTTTTTTTTTTTTTTTTTTTTTTTTTTGGTACGTGGGCCTCTCACTGTTGTGGCCTCTCCCGTTGCGGAGCAGAGGCTCCGGACGCGCAGGCTCAGCGGCTGTGGCTCACGGACCCAGCCGCTCTGCAGCATGTGGGATCTTCCCGGACCGGGGCATGAACCCGCGTCCCCTGCATCGGCAGGCAGACTCTCAACCACTGCGCCACCAGGGAAGCCCTAGAGATCATTCTTTAATGATCTTCTGGCTCTCCTGGCACGTTTAATAGCTCCTAGCATGTTTGGCAATAGTGTAGAAGTAGTGAAAGTGGAATAGAGAAAAGCAGTTGTAGGAAAGAGGAAGGGAGGAGAGGATTCTGTTCCCTGTTAACCAAGTATCCTCCTAACTAGGACAGAGAAAAAGAAAAAAGCCAAATAAACAGATTTATCTAGCAAGGAGAAAAGCTCTTTGGTTTTAAAGATTTTCCGACTTAAGAGTATTTTCTCTTCTGATGGCACCTGAATTACATGTAAAATTATCACTGAGGGCTTCCCTGGTGGCATAGTGCTTAAGAACCCACCTTCCAATGCAGAGGACACGGGTTCGAGCCCTGGTCCGGGAAGATTCCATGTGCCACGGAGCAACTAAGCCCGTGTGCCACAACTACTGAGCCTGTGCTCTAGAGCCCGTGAGCCACAACTACTGAAGCCCGCATGCCTAGAGCCCATGCTCCGCAACAAGAGAAGCCACCGCAATGAGAAAGCCCGCACACCACAACAAAGAGTAGCCCCTGCTTGCCCCAACTAAAGAAAGCCCGCGCGCAGCAACGAAGACCCAACGTAGCCAAAAATAGTTAATTAAATTAAATTAAAATAAAATAAAAATAATCACTGAACGTCAACTTCAAACTACTCAAAAGTCATTTTAAAGAGGTGTTGAGGAAATTCCCTGGTGGTCCAGTGGTTAGGACTCCACTTTCACTGCTGAGAGCACAGGTTTGATCCCTGGTCGGGAGCTAACATCCCGCCAGCTGTGCGGCGTGGCCGAAGAAAAAAAAAAGGGTGTGTTGAGCTTCGCAAAGGGAATGCATAAAAGAATCATGGGCCATGCATGCTTCCCATTACTTTAAGGGAAAAAGCAAAGCTGCCCATCCCACTAATTCAACCCCAGAGAGGAAGAAGAGCTCTGATACAGATCAGAGAAAAATTAAGGCCACATCCAGGGGTCAGAGTACTAGAGTGGACCTTTCCAAAGATGTGTGGAGGGTATCAAAGTTCCCATCCTCCTTCCACGACTCCTCTTCACTCTCCTGGATAGGATAAGCAAGGACAAAGTGGAGCCCAGAGAGTAGGGGGCATACAGGTGGCTTCCACATGGTCCACCTGGCCAAAGAGAGTCTATATACACACTGGGACTAGAGGTTGAAGCGGATTTTTTTTCCTGTAGGATTCCTGGGACCATACATTCTTTGATAAACATGTATGACGGTAGGAGGCAGGATAGAATAGCAGTATGATGGGAAAGCTACAAGGTAACTCCACCCTACACAGTAGTTATGGCCAATAATACAAGTTATCCCTCTTATCATGAAGATGCCAGGAGTCTTAAGTCTTGAACCTTAAAATCAGAGAAATCATAAATATTTCTCTGTATAAACAAAAATAAATCTCATTACATATATCCCAAACATACACAGAAACAGAAAACGACTATGGTTTAGGAATAAAAAAGGAGTAAGACAGTAAAATGCAATATTCTGATAAATGTACTGGTTTTCTGTACTAAGCCACTAAACCACTCAAAACTTAGTGAGAGTAAGCAAAACATAAGTACTCCCAACTGATTTTTTTGGATAGAGGCATTTCTGAATAAGACATACTGTATTATATAAGACACAAAAGAGAAGCTTATTCTATGTGTCCCATTGTGATTTTTGTTTGAAGTAATGAATCTTGAAAACCTTTCAATAAACATATATGATTTTCTTACTATTTCTTATAGCTTTCTCAAGCAAATGTTTACTGTGTGCCATGTACCTTTTAAGCACTTTATATATAATACATTTAATCTTCATAACATCCTAGACAGTTATTATTATCTCCATATTATAGGGGTGGGAAATACAGCATAGAGAGGTCAAGTAACATGCCCCAGGTCATGTGTGGAGGACTGGCATTTTTAAAAAATTTTTTTAATTGAAGTATATTTGGTTAGGACTGGCATTCTAATCTAGGTAGTCTGGCTTTGGAGTCTTTTAATCATATTTTCCTCATGATTTTGTTAAGAAGCCTAGGAAAAAAAAAATGTGTTTAGACATAGGAACCTCAGCCCATATACTCACATTAAGGAAGCGGCCCACATTTCCTTCTTTTGTGGCATCCAATAAAAACACACTCCCTTTATTGAACTTCTTTAGAGAATCAGATGAAGCATTCTTGGTTTCACCTGGTAACTCTTTATCACAAAAGACCTGCTGGTTTTGACATGCTGGAGATTTTTCCTCTTGGGGCTTTTGCATTTGAATCTCATTCTGATCATCCAGTGTGACTGTTTGGTGACATCTGCCCCCTGGTGGAGTTTCTTCTCTACATTTAGTTATATCTATCACATCTGATTCAATCACAGGGTTGTCTTCAGAATCTTCAGCTTGGTTTGAGCTTGAGTCCTCTAATAAACATTGTGGAAGGAATTGTCAGGAAATATAATTGGCTGAGCAATAGTGCTGAGAGTAACAATACTAATTAAATGCAAGCTGTGCTAATTATTGCTAATCCTTACAATGTATTAAGGTAGACAGCACTCCAATTTTACAAATGAAAACTTCAAGCCTCTGAAGGCTTAAGGGATTCACCTAACTAGCAATAGTAATGAGAAGTGGGGTAAGAAACCCAGAAATATCTGACCCCAAAGCCTGCCTTCTTTCTACTACATAACAATGCCTTTTCATGAATCTGTATACATGTTGCTTCCTGTTACTATATTTAATCTCTACTCCTTAGAAACTGACTTACCTCTCTTCAACTTTGGAATCCGCATTTAAGTGTATTCTAAACAGCTGTAACAGAGAGGGTATTTAGGGAGCACTTTAGGCCTTTAATATACCAATGAAAGGCCTGAGGAGACCCTGATGGAGTCACCCTCTATAAGTCCCAATAGTAATAACTATTGCTATGGGTTTTGTATACATTAGTGTTTGGAGTTTTTACTAGATGATCATTCAATAATTACACTTTTACAAACAACAGTACTTTAGAAGAGGATGAACTACTTATTTTTCTTATCGAATAATGGAAATAATTTTTTGAAAATATTCAAAAGTATGAATGCATGTCAAATGGAATAAAATGATTTATTTTTAAAAAGTCATTTGTGTCACCTAATTCAGTGGCACAAAGAAATTATACTTCTCTAAAATTAATGTTTTTGATGTGATCATCACTGTTGCTGGCTGCTACTCCTACATGTACTCATATTTTAATCATGGGTTACTTGTGAGCCATAATAGTACATAACTAATTTTTGTGGTGCCTGCTATATACATTGTAGTAGTCAATGGAAATGACAAAAGAACCAAAAGTAACAGTAGTCGTATGGCTCACATGCATTAAATGGTGATATATCAGAATGTCATCCCAAAATATACATCTCTGACATAAGGACTATTTTGAGCTAAGGGCAATTGAGTAGCAATACAGGAAAAGCTCAGCCCTCCCCCCATGTGTCTAAAAGCAGGATATAAATTTACAAAGGTGTCCCTCCATCTGTAATACTAGGAAGGACAAAAGTTAATTACCAGAGATAACTTTAGACCTTTGTCAGCTTGGAGACTGAACCAAAGCAATCTACATAGCATACTTGACTAACTAGCCTTTATCTACCATTGGTTTCACACATATCTGGGTTCCCACAATTTCCACCACGAGATATTCAAGGCCCTTTTCCTTTGTCTTGTTATTCCTCTAAAAATTTATTGTTCTTTGACTAAGATACTAGATAAGCCAGAGTTCTAAGCCACCTCTCTGAGTTACTCATCTCTGAGTACTCATGTGTTATGTGTATAATATGCATACTAATAAACTTTTGTTTTTCTCTTGTCAATCTGTCTTTTGTCAGTCTAATTTACAGGGCTCTGGCTAGACAGCTTAAGATGGGTAGAAAGAGATTTTCCTCCTCTACAGGTGAAATTATTATAAGTGCCCTTTCTTGATAGACCTTTTCTGTCAAGGAACTGCCTTGCCTCCCCCAGTCTCCATCCTTTAAGACCAGGTGGGGAGTTGGGGGTGCAGATGCAAGGAAGCCCAAAGGCAGAAGAGGCAATAGTTGGTCAGTTCTTCACAAAGGGTCATGTCGCAGCAATGCCTCTCCACTGAGGGATATATTGAAATGCAAATGAACAAAATCCAAGTTTGTCAGGTTGTAATATTAACCATGGTAGGTCCGGTAACACTGAAAGATAAGCACTCAGGGTAGCAATATTTACACTTTTTGCTAAGCATCCCCTGCAGCAGCACTGGCTGGAATACTGCAGGAGAATGATGTGTCTTTATTTTTAAGGAGCCTAAACGAAGGGTTAGGAAATAGCTGCATTGGACAATGCTTCCAAAGCCATAGATGGACTATGCAGACTTGGAGCTGACCACCCCTTTCTCCTGCCATGCATCAAGTCATGGTTGGCATCTAGACCAGGGGTCAGCAAACTTCTTCTGTAAGGGGCCAAACGGTAAATACTGTAAGCTTTGTGGGCCACATGGTCTCTGTTGTGACTATTCAGTCTGCTGCTATAGTGTGAAAGTAGACAGAGACAACATGTAAACGAAAGAGTGTGGCTCAGTTCCAATACAACTTTATTTAGGAACACTGAAATTATAATTTCCTATAATTTTCAAGTGTCACAAAGTATTACTTATCTTCCCATTTTTTCTCAGTTATTATTTAAAAGGTAAAAATTATCTTAGCTCATAGGCTATTCATAAACAGGTAGTGGGCTGGATTTGGCCCACCAATTATAGTTTTGCCAACCTCTGATCTAAACAAGTAGAAACTCTTGTGATGAATGCCACATTTTTGTTATGGAGTCTGAGAAAATGAGCCACAAGTACTGAGCAAGAGAAACAAAAAGGCAGAAGAGGCAAGCAATAAGACTGAAACAAAGCCTACCTCTCATTTCCTTGGCTTTAGAGTTCAGATGTACTTGAGTTGGTTTAAATCCACCATTATCTTCTGAGGTGACAGACTCTGAGGAAGTAAATCCCTTAAAAGAAAACAAGGAAGATGTCTTTACTTCCTAGGTCAGGAAAAAAAATTTAATTTAGCAGTAAGGCCTCTTTCATCAAGTGTCAATCTTCACAGGCTATAGCTACTAGATTAGTTTTGAAAGCCTCTCTGAAGTGATGGAGCCGTTGTGGCTGTATTTCACTCCTAGGCACTTTAGTGAGCAACAGCTATGAAAATTATAAGGACTGTCAAGACACTCTTTAGGCATTATAAATTCAAAATAAAATTCAAATACACCTGTCTGTATCCCTCAATTCTGATGCCAGATTATAAATTTGGCTTCAACTATAAGATGTGCAAAGATTAAAAACACTCTTTGGCTAGTTACTTCAAAGAAAAGGTTAAAGGAATTGCCTGTCTCCATGAGTTGCAGACACTGCAGTCACTTTAAATGGTAATGATAACTTTCAAAAAGGGGTATATGCTGAGCACAATGCTTGGTACTCAACTAAGTGCTCCATACATGTTGACCATTATTATTATTATTTATGTACTTCAATGGTCAACATGTGTGGAGCACTTAGTTGGGTGTCAAGCATTGTGCTACACAAAGTTTCTGATGTTTATCTCATTTAATCCTCTTAACTCTGAGACAGATACTATTATTCTCATTCTACAGATAAAGAAATGTAGACAGAGAGATGTCAAGCAGCTAGTAAGCTTCAGTGCTGGAGGGCAAACCCAAGCCTATGTGATCCCCCGGCCCAATCTTTTCATAATCATGTGGTACTGAGGAGGTACCTACTGAATGTTACTAGGCAGAGGGCAAATATTTGCACACCACCTAGGGCAGAGTTTTTATTTTTCATCAACAAGCCTTACCGTGAACTACCATAATGTCTGCCTGTTCTTTTTTTCCTGCATCATTCTGTTTCGAAGTTACAGTCTGTGACTATTCTTCTCAGTACAGACTGAAAAGTGTACCTTCAGAGGCTATCATGTAAAATGTTGCTTTCTTGATGATTCTTTCATTAGGCTGCTTCTCTTCTTTCTCCTACATCTCACACCATCTCTCCTTAACTTAAATTACTCCATCCTTTTTTTCTTATTATGTAATACTATCAACTCTTGAACACTTTAGCTTCTTCTACAAATTCTTAGACTGGATAGCTCTCAGTCTCAGTAGAGTACACTGTCAGATCACGACCAACATTCTCCTTATATATCTAAGTTGGGAACAAGCCAACCACCATGGAAGATACTAAGTAAATAAAACATAGTCCTAACACTTTAACAGCACCACATTACAAAATAATAAAAGAAATCCTACACATTATTAAGTAACACAAACAATTTGAACTAAGTAATAGTTAATGTTCTCAGAAGGACACCATCTACATTTTGCAGTTTTTACCATCTTTTTCCCATTGTGTTGAATACTGGCCGTCTTGGTTTTAGGACTTCTAATGACTGAATGATACTGAATTCTTGAAATATTGTTACATTTCATTTCTCTGAAAAGGAAAAAAAAGTTATTCTGTATATCACTAAAAATGCTCTTTACTGTGCCCTGAAATATAGATAGCTTCACTGTTACATAAAAATCCATTAGAAATTAATCTAAGTTATAACATCTATGCCTACCCCTCACTAGAAGAAAAAAGTATAATCATATTTTAAAGTCAATCATTTTTGAAGTATGTTAAAAAACTGAAGAAAACCTAAGAAAAGCTTTGCAAATAAAACGGTGATAGAAAATAAAAAGAACTGCAAAAGTTACGACATCCATAAAGAACCTGATTAAAGTCAAAGTTTTTAAAGGTAAGACTCCACAAATGGAAACTGAGGAAATAAAGTATGTTGGCTAGATTTTAAAATCTAAGTGCCCTAGATTTCTCACAGTGTTAAACTTACAACTGTGAAGCAAGTTGACATACAGGAGATATATAGGAGTGGAGGTGGAAAGTAAGAAAGAAAGATGAAAGAGAAAGAACTACTCTTGATCAATAGTATACAGCATAGATCAATCTTGATTGGGTTCATAAGATCTCACTCACATAATAGGCTCTTTGGGATTATTATGGAGCTTAGGTGGACACTCCTCAGTCACAGCACTTCTAGGATATATTTCCAATTCTAATGGGATAACTTCAACCTCACAATCTGCAACTTCTATTTTCCTCTTTTTTGAAAACATATTTTTCATAATATTCTCTTCTTTTCCATTTTCATCAATAGCATCAGGATTCTCAGTGTTAGATCTGCTTAGTAATCTTCCTAAAAGAAAAAAGTAAAGGAGCTTAACACAACAAAAAATAACACAATTACTAGCAACAAAAGGGCATCTCTTCTGCTCCGTTACTAAAGAACCCTGTAGGGTATACCTTATTTCTAGAATGAAGATAAACACTAACTCATCCTAGAAAGCTATTGTAAGAAATAATATATAAAAGACCAAGAAGAGATTTTGTATCTCCCAGTACATGAAAAAATATAGGGCATCTAAAAGAAGTATTTGTCTGTTGTGGTATAACATGAAAGAGAAGAGATTTAGCTACAATAATATAAAACAAAAATACAGATCAGAAAGCATTCTAGAAAATTAGAGAGGTGAACTCTAGTCTTAAAATTTCAGCTTTTGTGTCTAGTTATAAATGCTTTATCATTTAAAACCTTTACTCTTTTTATAAAGTGACCTATTTAAATCTGTGGTGATATGTGCCTATTCTCACATTAAGCCCTAGTGTAATTAAAATCTTCATCTGAAGCTTACGCATTTTCTTTCAAGGAACTCAAAATTATAGTTAACAAGTCAAAATTAGGAACTAGATCAGAGAGATAACTTAGGAGCATTTTCTAGCAATGCAGATAAAGCCAATGAATGATACTTTCTGGACACGATTTGGCATTTTATGGGCAGCATCAAAGAGTTATTTTGAGAAATACGAGAGATGAATTGTCTAGGTAAGTTGTGTAGTATGTGTGTCTGTAAGTGGTATATGGTAGGGATCCAGGTGTGACTATTCTGAACTCTGATAATTCTTGCCCTCACTGAAGTGAACCTGGAATTTCAGATGAGGAGGGTTGCTCTAGTCCCTGCTGCCTAGCACATTTCCTTTAGATTGCGTTGAGAGTCGTGTTTCTCCAACCTTTCTCATTTCATGGTACGCACAGAAAGTGAGGATTTTTGCCTGACACTCTGGGGTAAAAGGAAGAGACAACTAGAGACCAACGTGTCTGGCGTGTGGGATATGGCCTGAAAGAATCAGTAATTGCACAACTGTAACACACTGGTTGGAAACTTTCACTCAGAACATGGGCAACTCTCTTGAGTCCCTGAAATGGAGTGAACTACTTTGCCTGAATCATCACCTGAAGGTATTTATTACAATGTTAACCTATTAAATTCTAATAGCTCAAGACACTGAACAAGACAGTCTTTGATTAATAATCTTTACCTTAGCAAATCAGTCATTTAGATTTCCTATTTAAATAGGAAGCTTTCTTACCTTACCCCAAAGCATCTGCAGCCACAGAGACCAAAAAATGTGCCTCACACAATAACCCAAGTTTTATCCCTTAGCCTTTCTTTTCTGGAACACCTGATACCTCCTCCTAAGGCATTTCATCCCTTCAGTGCTCAATTTCCCAGTCACTTGTCTTCCTCTGATGCTCCTCCTATATATTGTTGCTCTTGTTCTTGCTATAAGATCTCAGTGGCCCTGACTAGTAAAATGGAGATTCAGAAATGTAGATCTTACTATAGAGTAATGTGAAAGTAAACCTTTGCTTTACCTGAATAAATGCAAACAAACGTCCCTCTGTCGATGTCATCTAGGCAGCGTACTCCCCATCCCTTCTTCTCAGTTTTGAATACTTGTAGCCTCGCTTGAGGTCCATGTTGGACAACTCGGTTTTGACACATTCGTCGATTACATTTGCACAACAGGCTGCATTCATAAATGCTGTCAATAAAATATACAAGAGAAAAATCAATCAGACATCTTAAATTAAAAGCATAAGCACTTTATATTGCTACGTCACTAATAATTACCAAGAGAGGCAGACTAAATGTGAAGGCTCCTAGAGCTAGACTGCCTGGTTCCCATCATAGCTCCAGCATTTACTAGCTGTGTGACCTTGAATTTAACCTCTCTGTACTTCAATTTTCCATGTTTAAAATGGGGATTATATGATACTACCTACTTCTTGGGGTTGTTTTGTGAAGATTAAATGAGTTGGTATCTACAAAGTGCTTGAGACAATGCCTGGCACATAGTAAAGGTTAGTTCTTTAAAAATGTCTAGCAATGTCTACGAAGGAAATGTCTAGGAAGGGAAAGTCTAGGAAGAAAATTTTCTGTTTATTTTTATTAATAACAACCATGAGAAGTTGAAAATTCCCAATTCTCAGACAAGCTTTGCACAGTATACATCTTAATGGGGAACCGTCTACCCAAAGTAAGCTAACCCTAGCAGGGAAAGAGTCAGACTCAAAGCAGATGAGTGTTAGAAACAGTCTGCATGTTACATGTGTGCTCTCTGACTTCCATTTCCAAGAACAATATACAAGTTTGTTTTTTTAATGCCTTAATTTAGATTTTTGGTATAAGAAATTAAGATTTAACAACATTTATAAGACTACAGGCCACAATGATAAAGTATCCTTCTTCAAAGATATAAATACCCTGCAACGGATCCTCAAGGTATCTTACCCAGTAGGTATCTGTCTCTGTAGTCTTTTATATTTATATCCAGTGGTTATTTTACTACTTAACAAGGGGCAAGTCTTGGCATTCCTTGCTGTCAGTTGAAGACATGCACATTTTGTTCTAAAAGGCAACGGATGGAGAAGTCAGAATAAAAAAGCACCAAGTTAAGAGACTATCTTGACAAAAGTGTAAAGGATGTAATTGTATTTAGAATAGTTGTTTGGTTCATGGACTGTTAGACTTCTTCCCTAAATAAAAAAGACCTCTTTGAAAGACAATATCTACCAAAAATTTATAAATAATTATAAACTGCCCTGTACCTCTATTTGCTCATGAAATAAATACTTAACTTTATGAGTTTTCTCTAACTTTTCAAAATGAATTCCTTTCATTTCCTATTCTGCAAAACCTTCTTTGTAAAAATTCTCCTATGTCTGCTCTCTTACAATGGATAAACTTATATGTGTCAAACTCAAAAGGGCATATTGCATATGTCTTGTATTATCTCTCCCTCCAGTGACAGAAAATAAATTGGGGAGACTGATGCTGGGTATCTGGCTACTACAATCTGTTTTTCATAACATTGCTAAGCAGTAAACATGCAACCATAAAAAAATTTTCCCGGGCTTCCCTGGTGGCGCAGTGGTTGAGAGTCTGCCTGCCGATGCAGGGGACACGGGTTCGTGCCCTGGTCCGGGAAGATCCCACATGCCGCAGAGCGGCTGGGCCCGTGAGCCATGGCCGCTGAGCCTGTGCGTCTGGAGCCTGTGCTCCGCAACGGGAGAGGCCACAACAGTGAGAGGCCCGCATACCGCAAAAAAAAAAAAAAAAAAAATTCCCTCTATTTAGATAACTATCTAACATGACAGGGACTTGTAACTCGATAGGGAGTAAAGAACCTGGTTATCTCGGCTATAAACTAGGTATGTAACCACTGTTAAGCTGGTTAAAATCTCTGAATCCTGGCTATAAACTAGGTACGTAACCACTGGTAAGCTGGTTAAAATCTCTGAATCCTGTCTCGTATGTTGAATGGTAAGTGACTTTAAGGTCTTTTCCTCTATGATTTGCTTCTGCATTTTTCTGTTTATACACAATACGTGTCAGAGTGGTAACTACTGTTTGCAACAGAAAAAAACAAGCAATAAATTCATTAATTTGGATTCTATTTACAGATGTAGAAATCTACTGTTGCTTTTTTTAGTATGACTTTGCAAAGTTTAAAAAGTACAGAAAAACACAAACAATAATACAATAAACACTCATATTTTGACCATATAGAATTAGCTGTCATCATTTTGTCTAGTCCTTTTAGTTGACCCTTGAACAATATGAGTTTGAACTGCATGGGTCAACTTATACATGGATTTTTTTTCAAGAGTAAATACCACAGTACTACACGATTCACGGTTGGTTGAATGCTCGGATGTGGAACTACAGATGTGGAACCGCTTATATGGAGGGCCAACTATGTTATATGTTATATTTTCTACTGCATGGAGGGTCAGCAGCTCTAACCCCTGCACTGTTCAAGGGCCAACTGTAATTTAAAACATATATACTGTATATATGATCTTCCTTAAAAAAAAAAAAAGCATTACAGATAAAACTAAACTCTCAAGAGGTTTGGTGAGGCATCCTTTATACTTTTTACATACATATTTATCTACAAACAATATATTGTATTTTTTTTAAAAGTACTATAGTTATTATCCTACAACTTTTTTCATTCAATATGTTTTTGAGACCCATCTGTGTTATATACAAATCTAGTTATTTCCTTTTAACTTTTCCACAGCATTTAGATTACAATTAAGTTGCTTGATATACAATTAAGTTGCTTCTAGTTTTCAATACACCAAAAATGCTACAACATCCTTATTCTTATGCACATGTGTAAGCATCTCTAGGGTAGTAGCTTTCAAATATTTTTGACTATGACTCACAGTAAGAAATATATTTTCTTCACGATCCTACAGAGGCATGCATATTTATATGTGTATGCGTACAAGCAGAAATAACAGTGGCATGAAAGTACCTTATCATGTGGGATGCACATGGGTACCTTCTGTATGATTTAATTTTTAAAATGCTAGTTACAAGTGATTTTACATCCTACTAAACCTGTAGCTTGAAAAACAATGCTCTAGATAGACTTAAAAGTACTATTGCTAGAAAGCAGTTATGCATGTCTTCAACTGCTGTGTAATTGTGTGAGAACCCTCCTCCCTCCCCACAAATGACCATCTGGGTTGGTACAGAATTCTAGTTTTACCTTTATTTTCCGTCAGCATTTTAAGCTAATATGCCTCCTTTTTGTCTTCTTTCTGATGAAAAGTGTGTTGTCAATCTATTTTTCCTCTTTTCTATCTGATAGTGTGAGATTTACTCTTTGCCCTAGATACTTTTTAAGTTGCATCATGATATATTTAGATATAGTTATCTTATTTTCCATTTCTAGTATACAGTGGGCTTTTTCACTCTGAAGACTCCTGTCTTTCTTCAATTCTGGAAAATTCTCAGCTATTATCTCTGAACAATGCTCTTTTCTTCTCAGATGTATGTTAGAATTTTTAATTTATCCTCCATATTTTTTAACCTGTAAATTTATTTTCCCCATATCTTTATCTCTTTGCATTCTGAGGGAATCTCTTCAGTTTTGCCTTGCAATTCACTAATTCTTTCTCCAGCTCTACCAATGCTTACCATTTAGTCCATCTATTTAGTTTTTATTTCAATGACCATATATTTTATTTCCCATATTTCCAAATGGTTCTTTTACATATACAGTATACTTAAAAAATAATCTCCTTTTCTTGTTTCATGGATGCTAATATTTTATCTCTTTGGACATTTTAAACATACCTATTTTAAAGTCTCTTTCAGTCAGATTCTACATTTACCTCTGATTCTTCAGGTGTGAATGCTGCCAGTTGTTGGGACTTATGCTACCTTCATGGTCCTAAATGTCTTTGTGTGTTCTGACTGTTTGAAATAATACTTTTCGTGGAATTTACTCCTGGGTGCTCCTCTACACTGGCTGCTTTCCTCATTGCTCTGGCTCTGACCTATGGGTTTCACAGCTCTAAACCCAGTTGTTGTTAACACAATTCCAGGCCCTGTGAGTTATTAGCCTGCTTCCCAGCCTTGCGCAGGTCCCTGTTTCTGTCCCCCAAAAGAGCTCAGTGCCCACTCTCTGCCATGCATGGGACATGTTTAATTCCCATCCTGTCAGGATTAGAATCCCTGGCCCCAGTGCTCATGTCCAATTCCAGATCCCAGTGGGCTTCAGCTTTTGCTTATTTTGTGACTTCTCTTGTAATTTCTGACCAATAGATGAAAATATATATGCTGGTGGTGCATGTTACATGGGGGTTACTTTCTACAGTCTAAGGCAAAAATCACAAACAGTCAAAATTATTCTTTAAAAAACCCCACTAAACTGACCATAAAGTACAGTAAACACTGTCCAACAGTTAGTTTTTTTCCTCCATCACTGAAAGAGATTGGGCTTGGCCAGATGTAAATGGGTTACGTTTAGAGGCAATGCTGAAAAAACAACAACTTATATTTAAACAGAATAAAACTTGGCACAGTGAGAGGTTTCCTCTATGACAGATCTAAAGGAACTGAGCCAAATTGAGGTAACAGCAGATTGATATCTCATCTCACACTCCTTCTGAGAGGATGGTGAGAACTATGTATATAATTTAAATTATTTCTCTTTATCTCTCTCATGCTTTTTCTTTTTCCTAGTAAAGGCAGCTAAATTTGCATTAAATTAAATGTACATATAATGCAACTCTGCTCTACATATGCAAACCTACAAATACCAATAAATTACACACCCTGAAAAAAAAAATGTTTTTCACAGTCTTAATATATTAGAACATGTTTTCATTTTTTTTTTATGGAATGTCAATTTTATGATCAGGAGAGGCACCATTAAGTTTCTGAAAAAAGTAGCAAGGAAATGATTTGCAAAAGTAAAATACAACATATAACATAATCGTTAAGAGCACGGGTTCAAATCCTGGTTCTTAAATTTGTTGACCTTACACTTGGCTTCTCAACTTCCTCATTTGTAACATGGAAATAATATTACCTACCCCATGGGGTTTTGTGAGAACTAAACAAGAAAATATATGTAAAGCACTTGTCACAGTGTTTGGCACAGTTCCATGGCATTAGCTGTAATTGCTGCTATTAGGAGTATGGTACTAGATTAAAGGGAATACTTATCCTTGGAAGAAATAATTCCCAAATTACTGAAATAACTGGCAAAGAGTTTTCTTTCCTATTGCTAATGAGATGCATCTTTCTATTTTAGATTCTCGATGAACTGGTTTTAGATAGACAGACAAACTGATACACAGCAGGACTTCTTGACAAGTACCCCCTACATTCAGAAGATTTTTTTGAAATGCCATGTTTTTCTACTCACATGTCTATGCAGCCCTCAGAACAGTCACAAGAATCAGTAAACATGTTGGAAAAGCTGTTTAAGTAATATGCTCGTGGCCACATAGTCTTTCTGTACTTAAAATGTGGAAGCTTTCTATTGTCAATTTCATTACAGAAAGAAATGGGCACTGATTCCACTCCATTGCTAATATCCGTATCAGAAACAATTTCTTCTTGCCTTGGGTAATTCCGAGTCAACTGAACATAGGTATTGAAAGAAAAGTTATCTGTAAATAGAAAGTTACACTCTGTCTCAAGCAGGTAACGAAAAACTTCCTCCATGTTTCGTAGACTCCTTCCACAAGGGGTTTTATAACTCACGTGGAGTGCTGAAGAATGAGAGTTTGTCTTTGCATGTAGTCTTTGGAAGTGGCATTTGATTGGTAGCTGCAGAGGGTTTTCTCCCTTGAAGGTAAGTGGCATTTTCATCAGACAGGCACTAGAGCAGTCATGCTTTTGGTAAGATAAATTTGGAGACAATTCTTTTTCTCTAAAGTCTGCAACTTTATTTTCCAGAGGGGGAATTTCCTTATTTTCTGTAGATCTGTTTAAAATTAATTATTTATTAGTATCTCAAATGTATAGCACAATCCCCATTTTTTAAAAAACACTGCACACTAAGGTGGTATTTAACTCCTATTAGCTTCTTGTTAGACAACACTAAAATAAGCCAGACTCTGAAATCAACATCTTACTATGTTCTGCAGCCACATAAAGTTACACCTGAAGGGTTTTTTTTTCTGGACATCAAATATGTGGTGTTTTTTCCAGCACCACTTCTTCAACTGGGTGTCCAATAATTCAGTTCAATTCTGACACTATCGACCTAGAGTCAGCAACAGATTCCACAAGTTAAAGGGCTCAGTCCCATAAGACTGCCCCATGCCAGATGCCAAATGCAGTTTCCAGGTCACCCACACTCTTGACAACCCCTTTCTCTCGGATAATGTGCTGGAAAGACTCAGAACTCAGGAAAGCACTTTAATTACTATTACCAGTTTATAATAAAAGATACACTCAGGAACAGCCAAATGGAAGAGATGCATGGGGCAAGGTAGGTAAGAAGGGGCATGGAGTTTCCATGCCCTCTCCAAATGCACCACCCTTCCAGCACCTCAAACTGTCCACCAACCAGGAAGCTCCAGGAGCCCTGTTGTTTAAAGTTTTTTATGGAGGTTTAACTGCTTAAGCATGAATGATTAAATCATTGGCCACTGGTGATTATCTCCACCTGCAGCCCTTCTCCCTGCCCTGGAGGTTGGGAGGCAGGGCTGAAAGTTTTAGGCTTCTAACCAAGGTTGTCTTTCTGGCATCCAAACCCCATCCTTAAGTTAACTAGGAGCGCCTCACCAAGTCATCTCATTTGCACGCCAAAGACATTCCTACCATTCAGGAGATTCCAAAGGTTTTAGAAGCTGTGTGCTGGGGACCCAGACAAAGCAAGTATCTTTATTATATCACAGACTAATTTCAGAGTATTCCAGAAAGCTGTGATTACAGTGGTAACTTTTTGCTACATCTACACCAATAGCACCTAGCAAATTTAGAGTTCATGTAGGACATGAGTTCAGTAAAGACCTGAGGAAGGTTATGTCTTCAGACAAACTTGGTTCAAGCAAAAAACAGTAAAGGCTAGGTAAAAAAATAATTAATTCATTAAGAATCCTTTATGCTGTTTTTTCTTTTTGCCTTCAACAACTGTACCAAGTGAACTTTCCCCATAATATGTAACCCACCTGGTCTCATACACATCTGAAAATGGTAAACTACAGGAGAAAATGGAGAGGTTATTGACTTTAAGAAAAAAACTCTGTGAAGATTCCATGTGTTCCAAACTCAGGTTTTAAACTTTCACACACACAAAAAAACCTGTTTTGTGTTACCTAATATTTTCAATCTATCTCTAGGTATCTGTTATTTATTATAAAAGTAATAAAGGTATTTTAGAAAAATTTTTATACTCACTATATAAAGCAGCACTGTCCAACAGAACTTTCTGCATTGATGGACATGTTCTATACCTGTGCTGTCCAATGGCATAGCCACTAGCCACATGCGGCTACTGAATACCTTCAAATGTGGCTACTGTGACCAAAGAACTGAATTTTAAATTTCATTTTAAGTAATTCAGATTTAAATAAGCACATGTAGCTAGTTGGTACCATACTGAATGCACAGATATGAGGTGCCCCATCCTTTTTTCAGCTGTATAGTAATCCTCTACATAAATTCCACAATTTATATAATTAGTCTTCTATTGTTTTCAATCTTTTGCTATTACAAATCATGATGTAATAAAAAACCTCATATATAATAATTTCATACATGTGAAGATATCCCAGAAACTGGGATGCTAGGTAACAGGGTAAATGGATTAGTAATTTTGTTAAGATTGCCTAATTGCTCTCCATGGGGTCAGCCTCTCCAGCAATTTATGTGAGTGCCTGCTTTCACAGAGGCTCCTGATGCTTCCAGATTTCTGATAATCTAGTAGGTGAAAGGATGTCCTGTAACTTATAAATCTTTTAATGTTGGAAATATTTGTTTCCAATTTTTCTCTGTGTTACTACTTTGATGAATATCCTCATACATAAGTCCTTGACCAAATTTCTTTCTTTCTTTTTTTTTTTTTTTTTTTGCAGTATGCGGGCCTCTCACTGTTGTGGCCTCTCCTGCTGCGGAGCACAGGCTCCGGACGCGCAGGCTCAGCAGCCATGGCTCACGGGCCCAGCCATGAGCTGCGGCATGTGGGATCTTCCCGGCCCGGGGCATGAACCCGTGTCCCCTGCATCGGCAGGCGGACTCTCAACCACTGTGCCACCAGGGAAGCCCTGCAAATTTCTGATTACTACCTTAAGATACATTCCTTTAAGAGGAATTACTTGGTCAAGGGGAATATACATTAAGAATAACTTATTAAAAAACTTTCAAACATACAATTAAGAGTATTCTTTTCTCATAAAGACTGATATACTGGAACCTCATGTACTTGTAAGAACTCCAGAACTCCCAGCACATAATGACTCTGTCCAACCCTCTGCGCTGAGTGATAACCAAACTCTAGCAAGGCTTCTAGCAGCATAAGGACATGCATGTCCCTAGGATAACCCCAGCCTCTCAACAAAATGCCTCCTTGAGAAAGCTCAAGGCTGTTTCTTCTAGCCAACACCTAAAGACAAGCCCCTGACCTTTCTTAGAACATTTACTAAGAAGGTCTTAAAATTATGAATCTTTCCTGGGTCTCTCTGAGATGTATATGTTTCTATAACTCAGGAATATTTTTCTCAAAAACCTGAAAGCCATTCTTTTGCAAGGTAATCATCAGGAAGGACAGGGTCTCTGTCCTCCAGTCTCTGTGGGAGGACAGAATCCTAACTTGATGACTGCCAGCCAGCACACACAGCTGGCCTCATGGGCATTCACAGTGATTAACCTTCAGTAAGTTTTCACTTGAGCCCCAGCTTGTACTCCCTTCCTTACTCCCGCGTTGCCCTTTAAAACGCCAGTCACCTCAGCACAAATCGCGATGGAGCTCAGCTCGTATTCCTACTGTCAGTAGTTAGTGAATAAAACTTGTTTCCACCACTATAGCTAATGTCTGGCTTTATGTTTGACACTTATTACCAGGTTTTAATAATTATCAATATTTTGCCTATTTTATTTAATCTATTCTCCACCCCTCTTGCCCCATCCTGGAACACTGGAGTATTTTAAAGCAAACACTTATCTGAAATAATTCAGTATGTATTTCTAACAAATAAGTCTTTTTAAAAATACATAATCTCAATGGCCCATCTTCACATTTCCCCGATTGTCTTAAAACCTGTTTGAATCAGAATCAAACCCCTACACTCTGTATTTGATTCAGGTGTCTTTTATGTCTCTACCCTTATGTAGTGCTCCCTCCCTCTTCATTAATGACATTTATTGGTTAAAGTTAAATAAACTGTGTCATTTGTCCTATAGTAGTTCCCACATTCTGGAATCTGGCTGATGCCTTCCATGTGGTGTTGTCATTTAACTCACCCCCTTCCATTCCTGGCAAAGCAGTAGTCAGTTCTAGAAGCCTGATTTGATTCAGGTTCAATTTTGGTGGGGGGTTGGGGGAGATAATTCATACGTGGTGCTATGAATTTCCTATTGCATCACGTAAGGAGACAAACAATGTCTGATTGTTCACATTTAGTGATGCTTAGATTTATAAGTGGGTTTGGGTGTTTCCATCCATTTTAAAGCTCCTCACTTTCACTTAACAGTTTTGGCATTCACCCATGATGGTTGTCTAGACCAGTGCTACGTTCAGGTGTGGTGGTGCCAGTTCCCAGTGGTTTTTTAACAATTCATGGTAAGTACAAAAATTGAAAGTGCAAAAGTTTAGAAACTTTTACAGCAATTTAACATTGCTGCAACATTTTATGCATTTTACAAGAGCATCACTCCTCAATAAGTTAGAAGTTTAAAACAGAACACCTGTTCTGACCACAATTCATTTGAGACCACTGGGCTAAGGCCACTGTTTCTTTGGGGCGTGGTGGGGTGGGGGTAGTAGTTGTAAAAATAACAATCTTCTAATTCTATCATTCCTACTGCATTTTCCGGCTAGAGTGCTTTCATAAAGAAGAAATTTTACTCATCAATTCTTGGGTTATCCTGAAATACAGTTAGTATAAGCAGGCAGATAAATGCTTGATTCTTTTTCTTTAATTACTAATATTCAGAATGATGAGTTGTATCCTAGCAACTACCAAAGTGACAGATTTTTTTTTGCTTTACAATGGTGTGTTAGTTTCTGCTGTATAACAAAGTGAATCAGCTATACATATACATATATCCCCATATTCCCTCCCTCTTGCGTCTCCCTCCCAACCTCCCTATCCCACCCCTCTAGGCGGTCACAAAGCAGGAGCTGATCTCCCTGTGCTATGCAGCTGCTTCCCACTAGCTATCTATTTTACATTTTGTAGTGTATGTATGTCCATGCCACTCTCTCACTTCGTCCCAGCTTACCCTTCTCCCTCCCCCTGTCTTCAGGTCCATTCTCTATGTCTGTGTCTTTATTCCTGTCCTGCCCCTAGGTTCTTCAGAACCTTTTTTTTTTTTAATTCCATATATATGTGTTGGCATACAGTTTTTTTTGGATAGCTTTTTTGCTTTCTGTCACAAGATATCTCAGGTCTGGAATCAGCCATTTCTCTAAGGGACTACAGTTCCATTTAATGAGAAATGGCATTTAGAGACTACGATCATGGTACTAGGAGGTACACATATTTTAATCAATAAAAAATGCCAAACTGCTTTCCAAAAAGGCTGGACCAATTTATACTCTCATAGCATGGATGAATGCTCATCTACCTGAATATTATTTTAAAATTTTTCATCAATTGGATAGGTGAAAAATATTTTATTACCTCAATTTTTTTCTCTAAATAATAAGGAGTTTGAACATAATTTCATGTTTATTGTTTTTTTTTCCTTTTGGCTAACTGTCTATTCATATGCTTTGTCCATTTTCCTATTGGGGGCTTGTTCATTCATTCATTCATT